ATAAATAGAGGAATTTTAAGTAAAAATTCTGATAATAAAATTGATTTATCAGAAGCTATCAGGGTATTTGGTGAGCCAATTAAAAAAGGAAATGTAAAAGAAGATGTAAAAATAGACAAAATAGAATCGGCAGAAGTTTTACTGCTTAGACAGCAAGTTGACATGCTTAAAAATCAGCTTGATGATGCTAAAGGAAGAGAGTCTTTCTATCAAAATCAGATTGAAACAATGCAACGTTTATTAGAGGCTCCAAAAGATAAGGTAACATCGTTTACTGAGCAAAAAAATAATCAAGATATAGCTGTAGAATCTAATTTCAAAGAATCTATTCAGGAAGAAGAATTGAATTATTTAAAGAACAAAAAAAGAAGCTTTTTTAGTAGTTTTTTTTCTAAAAAATAATTTATTTATTACTTATTAGCTAAGGTTCAGTACTCTGTATTAAAAGTTTATTTTTATAATTGACTATCGTTTAAAAGCTCTAAATGTTAGTATTATTATACGCCAATGAAGTATATATATTCATGCTATTTATTGAGACTAGTATTTTTACGAAACAAATAAAAAGTCTTATTTCTGATGAAGAATATCGTGAATTTCAGGAAGAGCTTTTATTACAGCCTGATAAAGGGGCTTTGATCAAGAATGGTGGAGGCATTAGAAAAATACGATGTTCTCAAAGTAATAAAGGGAAAAGTGGTGGCATAAGAGTAATTTATTATTGGGTTACTGAAGATGATTAAATATTTTTTTTAGTAGCTTATCCTAAATCTGTAAAAGATAATTTAACAGATAAATAAACTAATATTCTACGACAGTTGGTTAAGGAACAATTTCATGGAAAATAACTTATTTGATGATTTGGTTGCTTCTATCAAAGAGGCTGGAGCAATTAAACGTCAGGAAATAAAAGCAAGTCGTGTAATAAAGCTAGAATTACCTGATATTAAGCAAGTACGTGAAAAAACTGGCTTGAGTCAAAATGAATTCGCAGCACGCCTTCATATTAGCCCTCGCACACTGCAAAACTGGGAGCAAGGAAGAAGATATCCAACAGGACCAGCAGCGACTTTAATTAGGATATTAGACTCTCATCCTAGTC